AAAAAAGCCCCCCCAAGGGGCTTGTAGTCAAATGTCGCCCCCCTCGCAGCGGGAACAGAGGGACGGGAAATGTCGCCCCCCCCAAATGCCACCCCCCCCGGGGAACCTGGGGGAGAGATCATACAGTAGTAACAGTACGAAGCTTCGTAACTAATAAATGCCACCCCCAGCCCCCGGGGAAGTCAAATGTCACGGTGAGATTTATCTAATTAAATACGGTACGTCCCTACGAGCTCGTAGAGGTCTAGGTACGTACTCGTATCAGATAATAACAGGGGGGCGAATAGATTACCAGTTATCGGTATGATAATTGGCCGTCCGAGGCGGACCGAATCGATTCTGGAGCTAAACGCTGTGCGTAATGCGCGGAATGTTATGTTGGGTTTTTTTGGGATATCATCCCATCTGAGGTACGGTTTTAGGTTGAACCAACCGAAGAAAGTTACGATCTGTGGCGGGGTCAGTTCAACGATCCGCATTCTATCGGTGTGTATGTGCGTGTACCACTTGTCTTAAATTGTATGGGGTGTCTGATGTGGACAGTCGCGTGTGATGGACTTGTTCATGCCATGTGATACTTAAAGTGTTGATGTTTAGCGATCATAGTGTAGTACAGCAGGATGCTCAACTTCTTGTTGTCTGGTCTGAATACCGTATTCGATGACAAACGTATCATGGTGGGTGTCATTTGGGTGTGGATGCTAATCGTGCTCGGGGTGTTCACCGAGATGGGGTTGCTGCGTAGCGACTTTGTACGATTTGGTCCATCCCCAACTACCCTATACGTGGGTATTGTGCTCGATACGTGGGCTAAGTGGGGCGCTGTCGCGGTTTTCACTGCCATCAGTAGCTTTATGAACGACCTTGCGGGTGAGTCGCTCGAGCCATTCTTTCTGATGGTGATTCGCGACCACAAAACACGATATATCCCGTATTCTAAGGCTACAGAGAGATTGGTATTTTATTGCCGAACAACTAGCGCCAGCACCGCACCTCGCACGCCCCGTAGGACGTGCTGCCCTTACGCATATGTGCTAA